AGCACGCCATTTTTTTTTATGTTTTATAAAAATTTCATTAAGGATCGGTGTCAAAACATATACAATGTAACTTCCTTCAGACATAGGTTCGGAAACTAAATTAGTATCATTCTCCATCAGTTTTATCCTGTGTAAGCAAAGGTTAGTTTTATTATATGTATCTCATCAAGGATCAATCAAATATAGGAAAAGACTCACATATGATTAACAAAATGCGATGTAAAATGGTTTTCAAACGAATCAGCCAAATGTTTTCCTAAATTCGTTTTAGTCTCATTTATCTCACGATTAACAATACTACACAATACTGACTTGACATTTTCATCATTTGTATATGCAATTTCTCTTTTGATATCATTGTGCATTTGTACAACTATATCTTCACCAAGCATCTTTAAAAAATCACTTTCTTTGTTACCAAAGAATATAATGTCATAATGCTCTGGTTTTGTTTTTGGTGGTTTTTGTTCTAACTGGTACTGTGTGAGCCTTTCTCGGATATCAATTCCATTTACTATCCAAGCAGAATTTTTTCCACCAACGATTGTTTCTACCGCATCGTATTCTTCAATAACATCTTCTTCTTCAATGTCACAGTAATGATCATTTTTTTGTGAATGTTCAATTATAAAAGGATTTGGTAGAGGTTTTTTATAGACATATCTTTCTGTGACTTCATAATTATTTTCCAGTGGTGGTGTTTCTGTTCTTATGACCGTCTCTGGTGTAAACTTTATATTCAAATATTCTTTGATGCTTTCGCTATAATCAATGTCATTCTGCTGTTTGTTATCTTGCTGGCTATACTCCAATTCAGCTATATCCACAAATGAGTTTTCCTAAATTGGATATTGAATCAACTCACGAAGTCTGAAATAGTATTGGTCATCAAAACTGTTCAATATAACTTGCCTATTACTTACATAATTTCTTTCTTCATCGGATCTAAAAACATATATACAAAGTCAAAATTTAGTATAATTGCAAAACATGTATTATAAACTAGAACAATGAGCTGCATGCAACCACCATTTTTTTGAATTACTCTCTTAACAATACTCACTCAAGGAATTCTTTAATGTATTTTTTCATTTTTTTTTCCTGTTTTTCTCGAAAGTCATTTTCGTTTTTTTTTTAAATGAATTTTGTTAGAATTGATAAAACAAGTTTAAAACATGTTTCCTAAAGTTCTTCTAATTCAGCATCTTTGATTTTTTCACTTACAGATT